GAAACTGACCAAAGAGAGATTCAACCTGGAAATAAGGAGAAATTTCTGACAGTGAGAGCAATCAACCAATGGAACAGCTTGCCTTCGGAAATTGTGGGAGCTTCATCAATGGAGGCTTTCACAAAGAGACTGGACTGCCATCTCTCAGAAATTGTGTAGGGTCTCCTACTTGAGCGGAGGGTTGGATTAGATGACCTACAAGGTCCCTTCCAACACTGTTAATCTGTATTTACTTTTCCTTTTACAGGAAAGCATTGATCTGGGCGAAATCATGTTTTCCCTCTGCTACTTGCCCACTGCAGGGAGGATGACCCTGACAGTCATCAAATGCCGAAATCTCAAAGCAATGGATATCACTGGTTCATCAGGTGAGCAGGTGCCTTTCCATTTAGGGTGAAGTTGGTTGGGATACAAAGCCTTACCAGGATTTTAAGACCCTGGTGCTCAATTTCTGAAAGGGCTGTTCAAGCATGATCAAAGAGGTTATAGCAGGGGTGTCAAACTCCATTTCATTGGGGGCCACATCAGGGTTGTGTTTCACTTGGGAGAGGGCAGGTTGGGCGTGGCCAGCTTGAGGTCAGTCGTGTCAGGGTGACTGTGGTGGCCTGAGCGCTCTGCCAGCAAAAATGGGCTCCCGAGCTCCATTTTGGGCTGAGACAGTCTCCTGCAACCCTCTGCGAGTGAAAGCAGAGCTTGGGAGGGCTGCATGCGGCCCTACCAAGCTCCATTTTCAATGGCAGAGGCACTGCAGACTGGTCCTTTGCTGTTTCCAGAGTGGCCCCATGGGCCAGATCTAAGTACCCCATGGGCCAGATCCAGGCCTCTAGCCTTGAGTTTGACACCCCTGGGTTACAGCCACTCATTGTGTTACTTAGACGGAACTGGCTGCTTACTTTAATTTTGGTCTGCTGCATTGGTGAAATTCAATTTTTTTATTGTCGGTTCTGTGGGCGTGGCTTGGTGGGCATGGTGTGGCTTTATGGGTGTGGCTTGTTGAGTGTGCAAGGGGAAGGATATTGCAAAATCTCCATTCCTTCCCCACTCCAGGGGAATGTTACTGCAAAATCCCTATTCCCTCCCGATCAGCTGGTACTCGGGAGCCAGAGAATAGATGGGGTGGGGCCAGCCAGAGGTGGCATTTGCCGGTTCTCTGGACTACTCTAAATTTCTGCTACCGGTTCTGTAGAACCTGTCAGAACCTGCTGGATTTCACCCCTGGTCTGCTGGCAAAGTTGTCCATACACTTCTATTTGTTCAGTTCCCTTCCTGTTATCTCAGATCCTTATGTCAAGGTCTCTCTGATGTGTGATGGTCGACGCCTAAAAAAGAGGAAAACAACCACAAAGAAGAACACTCTCAATCCCGTATACAGTGAAGCTATAGTTTTTGACATTCCTCCTGAAAATGTGGATCAAGTCAGCCTGTCCATTGCCGTCATGGACTATGACCGGTAGTAATGTTGCATTTTCCTCTTTCCAAAGAAATGAATAAATGTATCTTGTGAATGTGTATAATGTGTTCAAATATATTAACATGGGATCTATAGCTTAAGGTCTTTGCCTGGACTCCTATTTACTGCTCTGTCTGATCTTCTCCCATACCTTTTATCAAAATACTTATAATTTCCTCCCTGAGATTGTTTTAGACTGTTAGAGATCCAAATTCGTGGGGAGGGGGGAGAATATGTTTTGGAGCATCCAGGGGTGTACATGTTGCTTCTACCTTTGAAGCATCTGTATCTTTTCCTGGGTTTGTCCAGCTGTCCTTCACAGTGGCTGAATGATCTCCAGAACAAGACTCATTGTCAAGTATTCTCGACAGGTGCTACCTGCATGTCTCCACACAAGCCAAAATATATATTTACCCTTTCCTTCCTTCCCTCAAAACTCAGATTTCTCAGATCTCTAAGCAGCATTTGATGGTTGTAATTTGCATATGTGATGGCAATAAAATGAGTACACGAGCAAGAATTTAGCTGGTAATTGCCCCAGTCTGCAGCAATCTTTCTATCACCAAGTTCTCCACCATGAATGGTCTTTGGGATCACCTAGAGCCATGATGGTGAACCTATGGCATGCGTGCCACAGGTGGCACATGAAGCCTCTCTGCGGGCACGCGAGCCATCACCCAGCTAAGCTCCACTGTGCATGCGTGCACGCCTCCCGCCAGCTAGCTGAATTTTGGGTCACTGCTGTGAATGCAGGAGATGATTTGCTTGTGGGGGAGGGGTGTGGGGGTGAGTGCAGGGGGTGTGATGCTCCCCACATACTCTGTTTTTGGTCCAAGGAGGCTTCAGGGAGGCCTGCTAGGCCCAAGGGAAGGTCACGTGTGCATGCATGGAGGGAGTGGTGTGTGTGCGTATGTGCATATGGAGGGGGCGCGGGCAAGTGTTCTGGGGGCATTGCATTATGTAGGTATATCTGTGTGTGCTGGCACACACATGTGCACACGTTTGGCATGGGAGGACAAAAAGTTTAGCCATCACTGACCCAGAGCATGGCATCCGATGATAATTTCAGACAGACTGTGGGAAAACAAATGACAACTTTAAAGAGGAAAAAAACAAAGAGATGTATGTATTATTTGATCAACATCATGACTGCTGTTTTGGTCATGTATGGTTTATATGTAGATATGATCCAGTGGTGGGATTCAAATAATTTAACAAGCGGTTCTCTGCCCTAATGACAGCTGGGTAGGCGGGGCTCAGTGATCATGTGACTGGGTGGGTGTGACCAACTCAAGGTCACTCACGTCGATGGGTGCTTCACCTTAGCTGTTACAATGTAATAAGGGTTAACTGGAGAGGCAGTTTCTGTAAGGAGGGCAATAAAGATTAGGCTAGAAACAACACCAGAATGTTTCTTCCTGCCTTCCATACAGGATTAGCCCTGTAAAGTGAAAAAAACCAAAATGAGATTTCTTCCAACAACCGGTTCTCTGAACTGCTTTGAAAGTTAACAACCGGTTCTCCCGAATAGGCATGAACTGGCTGAATCCCACCACTGATATGATCCTACCATGAAAATAAGTGTTGTTTTTTATAACTTTCAGATAACATAAACCCACAGATTGCCAACCCCACATTCTGGCCCTTAGAAACAACTTTAGCTTCTATCCCCAGGTCCAAAATAGGTCTAGTTCTCATGGTTAAAAGCAGTGGTGGGATTCAAATAATTTAATAACTGGTTCTCTGCCCTAATCGGCTGGGTAGGCGTGTCTGGATGGTCACGTGACTGGGTGAGCATAGCCAACTCGACATCACTCATTTCGAGGGGCACCTTGCCTCTCCCAGCCTCTCCTTGCCATGCCTGGCCATGCCTCACTCCTCCCCTCCTAGCCACTCCTTGTCACACCCAGCTACTGGCCCTGTCTCCCAGCCAGGTGAGCAGCTGGGTGGCCGGATGAGCAGCCTGGTAGCGAGGTGAGGAGTGGCTGGTAGGGGAAGGGCGAGGTAGGGCCAGGCGTGGGGAGGCACGCTATTCAGCCAGTTCGCTGAACTGCACAAAATGTTAGCTACTGGTTCTACCGAGTCTGTGCAAACTGGCTGAATCCCACCACTGGTTAATAGATTATTTGATAAACATTCAAAGGACATATATGAAATGGTCCCTAACAGTGGTGGGTTGCAGGCGGTACGCCCTGCTACAGACGTACTGGTGCCTGCCTGGAACACCAGGTACCGTTCTGGTACGATGCTCTGGAGGGCCCACCTGCCCGCCCATTGTCCTTACCTATATTTGAACTCTTTGGCGCTTCCACACACGTGCATGGCACATACAGCGCCTGCGCGACACTCTGCTGAGCAGCTGGAGCATCGCGGAGGCATCCCTGGAGGGTAGGACTCATGCATGCACTGCGTGCACGTGCCCATGTGCTGTGCGCGTTCATGTGGTGGATGCCTGGCCCCATTGCACCATACCAGTTTCAAAGGGATCCGGAACCCACCACTGGTCCCTAACAACAGATGCTATAGTAAACCCCAACAATGCATTGCTGTAGTAGATACATAGAGATATGAGGACTGCAATTGAATTAGGGGGCGGGGGGGGCAAGCTGCTGTAACTTCAACTCTTTTATTGTAGATTTTAAAACACCTTTCTAGACTTTATAAAGGCACTCTTATCCTCTAAATATTATTATTCTCACATCTAAAAAGCCTGAAAGAATTCAATGAATAACATTTCCAGGTGTCAGCAGGTGAGGCAATGTCCTATATCTATTTGACCTTCTCCAGTCACCATAGAAGAGAGAAAATATAAAACAAGGAAATTGCCTTTTCCCCCTTAATTTGTACAACTCATGCAACTCACAAATTCTACTGACTCTTGATACAAATGATAGTTATTCCATTTGCAGCAATTATTGTTTCACATCAGAGCATTGCCAGGCCCAGCCCAAGAATGACTAGAATTATCTAGCCAAAGTTCAGTTCTTTTTTGTTCACACCACTACCCAGAATCTTGCCACACTAAACTCTTATCCTAACGGATGTACCCTGGGAAATTCTGGGGAGTAACTAATTCTTTTCTTCTGTCCAGGGCTGGGCTGCTATGGGTTCACCTGAGTTTGGGAGAACCCGTAGCTAATGTTATGGCCAGAGAACCTCCAAATCCCACCCCTGGCTGGCCCCACTCAGCCCACCCTGCCCCTCCCCTCCCAGGAGTCTCCACATGGCCTGTTTTGGATGCGAAGTAAGTGCAAGGCCTGCATGGGAGCTCGGGGAGGGGGGGAAATGGGCCACCCAGAAGTTCCAGAAGGCCAGAAATGGGCCCATTTCCAGCCTCTGGAGGGCCTCCAGAGCCTGGGGGAAGCAGTTTTTGCCCTTCTAGAGGCACAAGGAAAGCCTCCGGAGCCTGGGAAAGTTGAAAATGGGGCCCCCACCATGGTGCAGGAGGCCGACTAGGCCACGCCCACCCAGCACTGGGCAGAGAACCAATTGCTAAAGTTTTTGAAGCCCACCACTGCTTCTGTGTAGTTATGTTGTCTTTTGTCTTGCCTCCACATCTGGCCACTTCATGATAGTCACTTGGAAGAGAGAGGAGCAGCATAAAATTTAAGAATAAATAAAAAATATAGTCCATCACAAGTATATACAGTTCTGTGGACAAATTTTCCTTCTCTTTAATCCTAGAGTAGGGCACAATGAAGTGATCGGGGTATGTAAAACCGGACTTGATGCAGAGGGACTCGGAAGAGACCACTGGAATGAAATGCTGGCGTATCCGCGCAAACCAATAACTCACTGGCATCCATTATTAGAGGTAAGGATAAAAAATATTTCCATAAAGTAGCTAATTCCCATGTTTTTATCCCACCCCACTTCCATATAGATTCTCCTGCCATTTTTCCTCTTTTTAATGCTCCTTCAGTCTGACCAAAGAACAATTGCTTTGGCAAAGTCTTTTAAAGAAAAGAAGTTCAGCTGGAATGGGTTCTTGTACTTATTTAGTGGTAAAGTGCCAAGAGATGTGCATGAATAATATCATGCCTTGCCAGCAAAGGTAGGTTTCTACTGATTTGCCCCAGATCGGGTGACCCGGTAGTGGCGGAGGCAGGAGGCTCCGCCCACCTCCCTGGACCGGCACACGCACACACATGCACAGCGCGTGCATGCATCTTACCGCCTCTATGAGCCACCACAGTGCTCCAGCTGCTCAGCGGAGCATTGCGTAGGTGCTGTACATGCTATGAGCATGTGCAGGAGTGCCAAAGACTTAAAAGACCAGTAAGGAGCTCGGGCAGACAGGCGGGTGGGTGGGCCCTCTGGAGCACCATAGCAGAACAGTATCTGGTGCTCCGGGCAAGCTCCAGTACACCCGTACAGGGGTGTATCCCTTGCAACCCACCACTGCCCCAGACACTTCTGTGCAGAAGCGTCACACGAGCGAATTGGTAGTAAAATAAATTGAAACCCACCACTGCTTTCCAGTGGTGGGATTCAAATAATTTAACAACCGGTTCTCTGCCCTAATGACCAGCTAGGTAGGCATGGCTCAGTGGTCATTGTGACCATGTGGGCGTGGTCAACTCAACGTCACTCAGGTCGATGTGTGCTTCGCCTTAGCTGTTACAATCTAATAAGGGTTAACCAGAGAGGCAGTTTCTGTAAGCAGGGCAATAAAGATTAGGCTAGAAACAACACCAGAATGTTTCCTTCCTGTTTTCCTTACAGGATTAGCCCTGTAAAGTGGGAAAAAAAGGTGATTTCTTCCAACAACCGTTTCTCTGAACTGCTTAGAAAGTTAACAA